CCCGCCCCCGCCGGCCGCCGCAGATTGCACTGCGCGCTTGGGTGGTGCGGGCACGTCGGTGGTGGGCGCGGGGCGCGCAGGCGTCACCCCCGGGCCTGCTTAATGCTAGGCCCCGCCAGCCACAGTGTCCTCGCCAGGCGGGGCGTGTGACATTGTGGGGCGCAAGACGGCGGGGGCCCCAGGTGATGGGATGGGGCGCCCTTGAGGAGGACGCAGCTGGAGCCGGCTGGGCGGGGCCGCGATGAACTTGACCCTCTGACTCAGGCTGTGCCCGGGTGAGCTAAGGACGGCGGGGCTGCCTGGCGAAGTGCTGAAGAAAATGGAGGCCACATGGTCCCGCCATCGGGGGAGGCCTCTGCCTGCCTAGCTTTAATGGGGGGAGCCTGCACCACCTCCAGGGGCGGGGCTGGACGGCGGTGCAGGGGCAAAGGGCATGGGACTGACCTTCACCTTGACCCCCTGAGGTCGTTCCCAGGGGCAGGGGCTGAGCAGTGAGGGGCGGACTCCACGGGAGAAGGGACACAGGAAAGGAAGACCTGTTACCCAGCTGCTCAGGACACAACAGAGCTGCAAAAGCTGAGAAAGGTTATAGGGCTGCCGCCGACGGGGGCCAAGGGTGGGCAGACCAGGACCTCTCCCCACCCGGGAGTGGCGGGGCTATCTGCTGGAGGCGGCACCTGAGCACGTCCCAAAGAACCTAAAGGCGAAGCCAGGAGACTCAGCAGAAAGGGCGAAGGTTGACGGGAGCGCTCTGGAGAGCAGGGCAGAGCTGGGGGTCCCCCTGCAGCTAGCCTTCCTGACAACTGTGCAAAGAAAGGCACTGGGGCCAGCCTCTGGCGCCCCATCTGCACCCCCGCCATGGTCTTAAATACCACCCAGGCCCTGGCCACCTCCAAACCCATTTTTCATCCCAGCTCCCCCGACCCGGGGAATCTAAACCAGTTACCCCGCCCTTCCTTTCCCCACTCCCCCACAAGCTTCCCCTATTCAACCCACTGTTCTGTTCCCACCAAAAGCTCAGGAAGGTCTCCTCAGCCATCTCCTGGCTCCCACCCCACCACCCCACAGCCCCACAGCCCACCTGCCAGCAAATCCCACCAGCCACCCCACCCCCAGTAGCCCAGCAGCTCCCCAGTCTGAACTGGAGAGCCCCTCACACCCTCCGCCCTGCTCCAAGTCTCCTAGAGCTCCCACCCTGCTCAGGGTGAAAGCTGAAGCAGCTCCCCACCCCATTCATTGGCTTCTCAGCCCCCTCTTCCCCCACTCTCTGTTCTCTGCTCAGCATCACCCCCCACCAAGGTTTCCATGATCCCCATGGTAAGCCCCTCGCTCCCCTACCGCTGGCCCCTGAATCAGCACCTGATGCTCCCATCTGGGGTTTGCTGAGCCCCCCACCCACACTCCAACTATCAGCTCTGAAGGCTGGTGCTCTGCTCACAGCTGGGTCCCGAGCATGGGGCCTGGCATGCAGTAGGTGCCTAATACTTACGTGGGGAAGTGTCAAGAGGCCTGGACAACCAAGCCCTGGCTCCCGGTAGAAGCGGTAGAGGCGATGAGAGCCGACGTGGGCTGCTGCGTTCAGCCCCCCCTCCCCGGTAGGAGTCACTGCTACCCCCATTCTTTTAAAGGAGGTGCAGCACAACCCAGCTGCAGGCCCCGGACCCGAGGCCGGGGCTGCCTGGGGGGAAGGGGGCACCACTCCCAGAAGACCCTCGGTGCATATGTATTGGGTTCCCGCTGTTCTGGAAGGATCTCTGGGCCAGGACAGCCCACCCAACCCTGGTATCATTCACCAACTCCTGGCCCGCCTGGGCCACCTTTATCAGGGAGCCTAGAAGGGACGGATGGAGGGGGTTATCACCCCCGCAATGTTGAAGGACCTACACCCATGGCTGGAAGGGGCAGGAGCCCTCCCACCCCACCCCCTGCCCCGCCCTGGGCACAGGCACCCCACCCACTGGCAGGGGGCTGGGCAGAAGAGGTGGGCGGTAGTCTCTGGGTACTGGCCAGGGGCTGACATACCGCCCCCACCCTCTTCCACCCCTACTGGGCCTGGCACTTCCCCCCCAGATAAGCCACCAGTGTCTCCCCCACCCTGTGCCCCCCTAACCCTCAGGGAGCTAACAGCCTCTGCTGGGGAGGGTGGGGGCTTGGCCCTAA